GGGGGGGGGGGGGGGGGGTACCCCTATATTATTCGGGCCGCCACATTACTAACTTCCTTGTGCTTTCAACTTCAGGTTGAGAGGTGCGATTGGCACAGGCCACAGTTGCAAGTGCACGAATCCTCCCTGTAGTATCTCCTCTGGAGTTGCGCACACGCATCAAGGTCAGGCTGGCCTTGGAACAGCTGTGCAGATCGGCATGAAGCTCGGGTCTTACAGCGCTACTTCAACACGGTGCGCCCAAGCCTACATCTGCTCTTGCAAGTAGTACCAGAGAGACATGCACTCAGGAACTGCTGCAACGAAGTCTGAACACACGCCACTCAGGTGAAGTGCCACTCAGCCCAAAGTTTTGCAAGCATCGAGCGGGCAACTCTACAGCAGCAATTGCAGCAGAAGCTCGTCGCCACTTGCTGAGGACTTGATCACCTCGATGCTGCACGGTGAAGACCGAGTGAGTGGTACTTACAATCGCTTGGTCAAAGCGAGGTGGTGTTTTCAAAATAATGAGCGTCACATGGACCACTGGGCTGGTTCGATGCAGGGGTGGCCATACGCTGCAAAGGCGGAACAAGCCGAACCCAACCACGATGTATCCATCCTCGGACATGGAAGCATCAGAGAAACAAAGCCCGGGCCGAGGAACATGTTCGCATCCACAATCTCCAACATGGCTTACATGTCACAGTCGTCATTGCGGTTGCCTGCAGGGGCTGAACCGTTCTGAACAGCAGCTTCGATCTGACCAGCTCGAGATGTGCTGCCACAAGCTATGTCCGGTCCTGTGAGCCTACATTACTGCAGAGGCAGGTAGCTGGTAGCTATAACCCGAACAGAATCTGCACGTTATCGTCGTACCTCCCGCACGCTGCTGCCCATCGTAGCGTCCTGCGAATGACTTCAGCTTTCCTTGAAGATCTGGTTCGAGTTGGGGGATATGACCACGCGAGGCTGTATTCTTCCTGCCGGCCTGCCGAGGGTGGACTGCATTCCCTGAAACACTGCAAAAACATGCAGAAAAATTGCACCCAAGACAGCGGACGCGCTGCTTCGAACAGCGGTTCGAGCAGTTATCAACCGTTTACGCGAAGTTGAACCCACCGTCCCTGAGCAAATTCCGTCCTGGCAGCCGGAACAGTCGGAGCCATACCTGAATCACAGTGCTCGCTGCAATGCTGTAGCGCCTTCGTGAACATAGGGATTAAGAGTTAGTGACTGCTAGTGCGCGCCAAGCTGCACGGTGTCGATTGCAGCATAGCTCATCCTAGATCTATCATGGAGGAGCTGGCATGAGAATGACCCCACGGCCATGATCTCGTTGCATCTCGGAGCCGTCGTTGGCTCCTCCGTCGGCTCTTCTGTTGGCTCCTCCGTTGGCTCCTCTGTTGGCTCTTCTGTTGGCTCCTCTGTCGGCTCTTCTGTTGGCTCCTCGGTTGGCTCCTCTGTTGGCTCTTCCGTTGGCTCCTCTGTTGGCTCTTCGGTTGGCTCGTCCGTTGTTTCTTCTGGCTCGGTGGTTGCAGCTTCTTCTGTCGTGCTCCCCTCGTCGCCAGTTGGCAAGTCCACGTCCACGCTGCCTGAGTACTCAGCGGGATTATGTCACCATGGTAAGATCTGACATGCGCTCCTGTGAAGTACATGTCAAGCACTGAATGACCGTGTGATTCTATACTCTCGAGACACTCATCAACCAATTTTGTGCAGTTCTCAGCCGACATTTTGCCAGCTGAAACAGTCAAGCCTAGTTCTGGACTTCTACGAAGCTCAGCTAGCTCGTGCCTGCACCGACGCTGGTTGTTGTCGGCTTCGGTGTCGTTGTCGTCGGCGGGAGGATGCATTCCCCGGCGTTGCACGATCCAACCACGTGTCTGTCGAAGCAGGCAAGAGTCGGCAGTACCGTGGTAAGTATCGCAAGTGCAGAAATACTCGATAATTGAGATGTGAGAACTCCGCTACCATGTGCATCCGCACATGACCTAGAGGATATAGCGTCAGGATTCTTACGCGCGCTGTTCAAAACTCATGGCCGAGAGGCTGCAGCTCGCAAGGCGTTCCATCTGGCAGTTGGTTCAACGGTTGACCATTCAGATTCCATCCATGCAGTGCGTTGCAGGCGCCGGAATACATGCACTTGAACCTTAGAAGCAATTCCCTGGATGGCTTGCACTGTTTTGCATGGCATCAACATGCTTCCCCCCTCTTCGGGCTGCCAAGCAGCAAGCATGGATTGTCCTGCAACGTTGCAGAATACATCAAGTTCTCGCCATGTCTAAGCAATGATAACCAATTATTACCATCCTTTCACGTAGCCTCCAGCAGATCCCGAATTTAAGTCGATGTGCAGCGGTGCAGCAGAAACCCGCCTGCAGCCCACAGAAATCACCCCAAGTCGGGGCATAAGCCGCTGCCAACTCTTCACACTTGGTGCCGTGGGTAACACCTCGACAGGAACCGTGCGATCCCACACCGACAGCTTGCACGCTGCTGGTGAGTGTGTTCGGGAAATGTTTCCGATTTAGCCGAGAGACCCGCGAAACAGAAACCATGGTACCCGTTGCCCTGCATGATCATCGTCCCAGCAGCCCTGGGCTTTGTCATTTCAAGTCTTGCTCGACAAATTTGGCCTGTGATGTGGGTGATTACGGGTAGGGTTCTGCTGGTACACACACTGGAGTGCAGGCAGTGTGTAGCTCAAGCATTCAAATGCACCGGCAACAAATGACTACACGGGCAAGTCAAAGGGTCAGCATGCCAGCTCGGAAGAAATCCGCCGATTCTGGACCAAGGGACTTGAACATGCCGTCTTCATTGCAACAACCAGAGTCTTTGCCATCCGGTGTACACTGTTTGCCGTGCTGCAGCCTTGTCAGGGGCTTGGCATTTCATGCGACATCGTGCCAATCTATGCAAGAGAGCCCAAAACCCCCTACGGGCCAATGTGGCACCCCCCCCCTTTCTACGAGCCAGGACATGACGCAATCTTTAGAACCTCCCACTTGCAGTCTGTGCAGTATCTACACGACATAGTCCCCGGATCGGCGCATTCGCACTCCTCATCGGCCTGCAGCGCAACTGTCACCGAGGAATGCACAGGACATACTACTTTGACAAGCTCTGATACATGTCGATACACAACATCACGGCGTTCTATGGTTCGGACTTAGTCGGCATCCACGCGATCTGCACAAAAAATCGGTTCACTAAAGGCTGTATCAGTCACAGAACAGGAGTGGCACAGCCTTCAAAACTCGTAAGTGTAGGTCAAAACACCATCGCATGGGCAGCAGCTGCGGCTAGCATGTTGGATGTTTTCCACTTTATGAGAGTCCTGCACACCGGGTCCTCCGACTATCACTTCCCGGGAACTAAACATCCTGACACGGGCCTCGGACAATGCAAAGCACGCTAACTGCCTGTTTCAAAAGTCAGGCGCTCAAAATGAACGCAACTCTCCCGCCACATGACAAATTATCACGCAGAAATAAACCCACAGCCGCCTTTTCTGGCGGAGTCTTTGACTAAGTGCAGTAAAGACAAAGCCTGATGCGGCAGCTCCATCGCTTCGGGCTTGAAGAGTGAAACCCCTTCGTGCCTCCCGCAAGCCATTGCCGCAGCCAGACCAGGCCGGAATGCACTCTCCGTCCATGCAGATGCCGTCCTGTCAAAGGTCTGTGACAGATTGAAGGTATGTAAAAGCAGCGGGTGTAGTTGCACGGCCGTCCAGTCCAGGGACCCGCTTACAGGGCGCACATTCAGCAGCCGCAGAGAATGAACGGATGGCGACTGCGAACAAAACACATCAGAATGCACTGTTTAGGACAGTGAATGCCAGCACTGTCTGCACAGAGCGCTGCGAAACAATGACTGCGGTCCCCTTCTTCCGAGAATGCACAAGGGATCTGGTCAAGCACATGGTTGGCCTTAGCTCACGGCTCACAGACACTGTGAGTCAACCAGGCCAAACTAATTACTGTCATACTTCCGCCAGGTTACCGGCTTGCCACCAACCAACCAGCCGTCCATCTTGACACATGCACCGGAATTGGGATCCTTGCACCTCGATGTGTGTCAGAAGCATGGTGTCTACTGCCAAACTTGGCCGCAGGAGGACAAAGAGCTGCTGCTTACCAGTCATGAGAAGTCAACCTTGCGCATCCTTGCCCGGATTGCAGCAACTCCAGCCCGATGGCCGGATAGCAGCCACGGTCCGCTGAGGCAGGGACTTGAACTTGCACTGGTTGTGCTCGTTGATACCTTGTGGTCGCCAGCGGAGTTTGAAACGCTTCTCTGCCCGGACCCTGCAACTGTTGGCAAGCTGCCTCGACTCCGGGATTGCCAGGACCAGTGGTGGACTAACCACGCAAACAGCTTTGGTTTTCTTAATGTTAGGGCTTGAGGGAGACTTCAGCCAGCCGATCTTCTTGACATCGAACTCGGGAGCCTACGAGTCCGAGGAGTCAGACGTAAGACCCGGCATAAGGTGTGGAGCTGTACCTGTGAGATTCAAGCAATGAGAAGCTTGGAGCCGCCACAGCATAACACACTGCTAACGTCGCCAATGTATCCAGAGGCGACAGCTGGAGAGTTTTACCATCTCAAGCTCCTGAACTCCGAAACGCTGAACTCAGAAAGCCACGTCCCCAAAACTAGCAAAAAATCAAAACATCTAGGGGAAAACAGCTAGAAAATCCTCCTAAGAGTCTAAGAGCCGCTCCACAGCACCCTTTCAGGCTCTCGTCTTTGCCCGATTTGCTGTGGAAAAAGCATCTTGCTTGCAGGAAGCAGCATTATTATCCGCATTGCTGTAGCACTCAGGAGAGATCTGAAATGCTGCTTCTGACTTTTTTTGCAGTGTGGTGTTCAGGTATTTTGTTGCAGGGCTCTCGTCTGGAAGTTTCGCGATGCTCTGTTCTTCAAAACAGCGTGGAACTCAAGGCGCAAAATACATGAGCCCCAAAGCTCCAAAAGCAAAGCCTGCACCTTAGAGACCTTTGGCCGTATACCTCTGGCAGTCGCAGCTCAAATATGTTCGAGTCAGATCACATGACGGTGCTGACTTCATTCGTCGCGTCCCACAAGTGTTGCCGAGATACAGCAGGAATTCAGCCATAGTAGAATGAAAGGTCCCCGAGATTGAGATGCCAAAGTCTTGCTCTCTCGAGCTCTACAGTCTCCTTCAACTAGGACTCAGCCCCTTGTCAGTTTTGACGCCTCACTGAATCCTCCGTAAAATGAGAGTTCGAAACGCATGGTGACTCAGCGGCCAAGATTGGGAGTCCGAGACTTCGACTGCTTAGGTGCCTTCAATGGCTAGCTGGTCTTTCAACCTCTGGTCAGGACTCTGAAAAACCAGCTGTCTGACAGCCAGGAGACCACAGAACTTTCCAACAAAGGTGTACGTCTGACCTAGGATGGATGGTCAGCGGATACAAACAGCGCTCTTTCATTAGGTTTGCCGGCCATCAAACTCGTAAACATACAAGAGGCAACGCGCGGGGATGCACAAGCCTGCGCTGCAGAAGCCATCATCCACACCAGGGACCTGCGAATCCGACCCTGAAAAGGACCCCAACCTGTCCGAAAACCTCCCGAGCTGCAGCTCAGGGCTGCCGCTTGCTGCACGTGTGCTCTTGCGTCTGCTTCCGTGCATAAATCTCTCCATGCACAAGACCAATGTGTAGGATACTCACAGAGGAAGCTGTGGCATCATGCAAAAGGATGTACTGCGCCAGAGCGGCAGAATCCTGAAACACTCTTGGGCTGAGGGCTGTGGCCAAGGATAGGGCAGCACATGGTACCGCCTTCTTCTAGATACGGTAATCAGTAGTAAGGCAGCACGACATAGCTGCTACAATACAGCGCAGCTGCAGCAAGATAGAGGAGTTCGCCTGGCAAGCTGTTCCATGAGACTTCAGCTTGCCGTCACCAGTGCAGCAAGCCCCACTGGCAACCCCGAGTCCTTCACATCGCAAGTTTGCAAGGGGGAGTCCGGAGAGCAGACTTTAACATCTGTTCCGGATTTTGTGGAGATCCGATTTTGTCAACGCAAGACGTTCCAACACAGGACAAGTCAAGGGGATGGCACTACCAGAATCACGAACACAAAGTGTGCTTGATTTTCTCCCCAAGGCACCAACGGACTTCACTCCCATACCTTCAGGTGTGCACTCGGCACCGCTGTCCAAGACACAGTCGTGGCAAAAGGCGCAATCTTTTCCTTGGAGACCCAGGTCACTCGAGGCGCTGCAACCCTGAGACATGCTACACTGTAGACATGTTCCTACAGGACGACTGAAGGGCTTGACGAGGTACCCACATCACATTCGCAGTCCTCTTCGTCCGTGAGGATTCGGTTGCCGCATTCGCCACTGAATTCCCACATCTCAGAGCATTTGGGAAGGATGTAGTTGATGGTCTGGCAGATTTCTTCTTTTCCTGGACTCTGCGCCGACAGGAAAAACTGCGAGCTGAAAATGGCGGCCGGGGGAGAGCCGCTGGACTAATGAAGCTCGGGTTCGAAACTGGGTGTTAAACTGGAAGATGCCGTTTAATGTGCCGTCGCCGTAGTCCATGATGCCTCCCGTCTTTCCCTGGCCTTTCTCAAAGGAATGGTGACCTGCTTCATCATAAACGCAGCTGCGATCAGCGAAATGCAACAGGCAACATGAGCTTCCCGGTGGCCGGCCTCCGAAATTGTGCCCAACCTCGTGCGCAAAGGTCTTCCAAGTGCGCTCGGAGTACCAGACTACCCCAGTGTTCCTCGGGCTGGAGGGCTCAAGGTCAAGGCTTCGGGAATACAGCGGCTCCAAGGCAGCATGCCTACAAGTCTACAAGCCTCTGAGGTAAGCGCGGCCAGGACCCCCAATTCCTGAGCTGCTGCTGCAGGCACGACAAACGTGCTGACGCACAGCATAGAAACCGCCCGGTCCATCCGGAGCCAATAGTCCGGCTGTGCTGAGTACTCAAGACAAGCTTCTTGTGCATCATGCACAGCGTGCCCACATAAGCAAGTCCGATGGTTCCGCCTTTGGAAATATCGAAACAATCCTCGGTCTCTGACTCTTGCTCTCACATGTTCACTTCATGGCATGCTCGGCGGTCACATTCAACAAACCTGACGTGCAAACCTATCGCTGAAAGTAACGAATGTAAAGAGACAGTCACAAACAGTCGTCGAAATACATGTGGGGCTTGATGTCGCAGATTGGCTATCTTGATACAACTGCGGACCGCACACTTCACAGGCGACTACGCGATTCGGAGGTGTTGCGGGTGTGAAATGTCCAGCAGTTTGAAGCTGGGCATAAAAAAAATTGATGATTAGAGGCCTGCCCTGACAAATGCCGCATGCACGCATGCCTTATATTGAGTTGAACTAGCTATGCTTAGGATTGCATCCTGCAAATGAGGGGGGCTGTGGCTTCTAGGAAGTCCAACCATTCTGATTTGCACTGCGAGCAGTGGTTTAGTTTGCTTGACATTTGGGCTGCAGCATTCATAGCCTTGGCGCAGACTTGCTGCCAAGTCTCGTCAAGCAAGGTCCAAAGGCCTCGTGCGACATCACAGGACCCTAAAGCTTGCCTTAAGTTCGCCTTGCGGATCCACACAACGCAATAGTTCACTGGCATGCCTATCCCAGCCAGTTCTAGCTAGTGAAAAAAAGTCTCGGCCATGACAAGTAGTTTGAGGCAGCCGCTATGCTGTTTCGGAGGGTCCCACTGCTTGAACTGATCCAGCTGCTGGGCGATGGTTAGCTTGCAAGTGGGTCCTGCAGTCGCGCTGCGAGATCTAACCATATGTCAACGGTCCAAGCATGAAACAGCCATCACGGATCCAAGTTCCAACTGAAGCTGCTTCCAGTTAGTCTCCTGCATCCCAGGAGGGTGCTCCAGCATGAACCTTTTGCCTTTGCAGTGCAGGGGCACATCACTACCGGCCCTAGCCAAGCACTATGAAGCTTCCCTGCTTCCTCCCACAGCACCGATCTCGAGCGAGAGAGCTGGCTTTCTGTTGTAGTTACGTTATCATGCAGTACCTTGCTGACCGTCCTCGAGCTATACTGGAATCCTTGCTGAGCCTCCTTCTGTAGGACATGTGAAGTGGCAACTGACATTGAGGCCCGGGCAGGTGAAGGCTCTTGCAAACCAACACGAAGTTGAGTTGCGGCTTGTAGATCAAGTTGGCTTCGGTAAATAACTCGGTGGCGCATTGCTAGCGTTGCAGGCTCGACATTGCAGACGATAATGTAACATCTTCGCAAACTGATCGCAGGGAAGCACTCAACCCCAAGGTGGGTGCTGTTCACTAAGCGTGTTCACCAGCTGCTGTGCCAGCAGGAACGGACCCAACAAAAAGATGTTGCACAGTGTTTCAGATAAACAATGGCCCATGTTGACAGCTCAAGACGCCAATATGATGTAATCGACTGCCTCATCCTGCACAGGGCCGACAATGTAGAAGAAAGCAGTTCATGTTCTGACCCCACGCAGATCCCCAGACCTCGTCCGCAAAGCGCGAGTAAAGCTTGGACGCGATGACGATACCATGGCCACTGGCTTTCGTCTTGTCGTCGCCAGTGTAGCAATCCTACGACTCACACACGTACATTCACTAAGATGCACCAAGACAAAGAAGTCCTTACAGCGCCGCTTGGCGAATACATGCGCCATGAAGGGTTGTTCCAAAACGGCATCCCATGTTGTCAAGACTCGCGATTGTTTCCACTCTATTGCTGCTGGCATGCCTTGCCCTCGCAACTGGTTTCCCTTAAGCCCATTGGCACCCAACCTGGTAAACAACCCCTCGAACCCCATTTTGCCAGATGCCTCCCACTTCTCTGGCAGCGGCTGTGTCGAGTTCGTGGCAATGAGAGAAGCCGCCTGATCACACAACTGGAGTCACTAGCATCACTAATTAGAGGCGCTGCGAACTCTTTCTCTGCTGTTCCTTGCAGCTCACGAGTCATTTCATTGTGAAAGCAAGGAAGATCGTGTCCAGCGCGATCTACGTTAGCATGCACTGAAGTATGTCATGTCCTCTACGTATTATATGCTGTGGGTAGCAGAAAGCAGGGCCATGTACTTTCAAGCTTCGAGACAAACGCACCAATGCAAATCACTCGGTCGCCTGACCTCCGGTTTCGTGTCTGGAACACATGCAGTCATCCGCAGCATCCGGTCCAAGCCTTTTTCAAGTAGTCCTTCTCCATCCTCCCAGTGCGAACGGTCAGCAGCGAGCCCTTCCGAGGCAGCTCCAAATCCTTTGGCAGCTCCCGGAAAACTGAAAGCAGCATGCGGCGTCAGCTGGCAGCAGAGTGCACGAGTGGCTCATAAACTCAAATTAAGCTCGAAAGTCCCAGCCGGGAAACCCCACTGCCAGCTTCCTTGCAGTCTGGGCACAAAGAAAGTGTCACCACGTCGAACCAAGCCTTTGAGGGAAGCGCCCACAGAGGTCAGGACGGCGCCTGGCCCTTCCTGGGATAGGATCATGCACATGCACTTCGCAAGTGAAAAGCAGGCTGAGTCTGGACGATTGCCACCGCGCCTAGATATGTAGTAGTATGGGCACAAAACTATGTACACAACATGACACAACATGACATAACATAACGTAGCAATTCATGGCACAGCACAGAATAGCATGACATAGCAGAGCAGAACATGGGACATACCATAACATACCATAGCAGATCATAACAAAACTGTATGCATGTATGTATGTATGTATGCATGTACGTACGTATGCATATGTGTAATAGATAGTACGTCTATATCTACATCTATATAATGCTATATCTATATCTATATCTGTACCTGTGTCTGTATCTATACCACATGTCTATCTATGTGTATTTTATGTGTATATACATATACATATACATATACATACACATATACATATATATATATATGAATGATTGATTGATTGATTGATTGATTGAGTGAGTGAGTGAGTGAGTGAGTGATTGGTTGAGTGAGTGATTGGTTGAGTGATTGATTGATTGATTGAGTTATTGACTGATTGATTGATTGATTGATTGATCTGATATAACACAGCATAACTCAGCATGACATATACAATGCAATCAGTGTACAAGAAACGATTGGATAAGAAATGAAGGGGCTACATCAGCCGGATAGCACGAAAAGACGATATCTGAAAATGCTTTCTAGCTAAGACGTGAAGGGTACCCCACGTTTTCGGATAATTTCTTATTTGGGTGGTTTCCAAGCCCTAAGCCTAGCGCACACGGCAGGAGCCAAAAGCACGAAATGTGGGGGGGCCTATTGGTGTCCAATGAAGTGCTGGCAGTTGCATCTAGACACGAAAGCTAAAGTGTACTGTACTTCTACCTTGGCGGTGTCTGTCCGGCCTAATGGGCCTATATAACGGTTAGGGCGGTTAAGGCGCTCAGTTGACGGACTTCCATGAGCCATGGGCTCGAGCCAGGGCTAAGAAATGGTTAAGAGATGAAGGGTACCCAACGATTCGGGAACACGGAAACGTGAGACTAAAATGAAGTTCAGAAATGAAGGGTACCGGTTCGGCTTCGCCCCTCGGCCTCCTTCGGCCTTCGGCGTCACACATGGAAAAACGCAACGCTGGAAGCTGGCATTTCTTATCCAGCAGATGCAGTGTAACATAACACAGCATGTCTCAAGATACCATAACATAGCATGGCATAGCATAACATGCAACAGAACATCTTATAACACTGCAGAGCATACCATAACAGAAAATTGCATAATGTCAACTCTTGATTAATAAACCCCCCGTGATTAAAGGCATCCGGCGCGGGCCTCGGACCTGGCTGAAACCATGTTTTAAAGGCGCTGGCCTCTTCCACCAGA